GGCAGATTCATCCGGGAATGGAATCCGTCCAGGTATATGAAATGAATCACTTATGAAAAAAGTGACTAAATTATGGGTCAATTTGCTTCAGTTTTCTTGATTCTTCCTTTAAAATATATATAAAAATTACTCTTTCTCACCATATGGGCAGAGCGTGGCTGCTTTTACAACCAACTCATTAAGCAGTTATTTTATAACCTCTCCTTTGGTCATCACAAGCATCAATTTTCAATATGGGACTTTTTAAAAGTTATAACTTCCAACCATTAACAAATTGTGTGATGAAAATGTTATTAAATATCCAACCATTACACTTTTTGAGGTGTTTAAACAGGTTACAAAATAATATTATTTACAAACGTGGATTTGTATTTATTTTTAATTAGTGGAGTAAAAATTTAACCATTTATTTAATTATTTAATTTAGACCTAAGTTTGATACGTGTTGAACCTTTTGACCATGGACCTTTTCTAGAATCTAGAGTATAAAAAATTGATAGGTTCTACTCATCTCACCAGTCAACCTACTAAGGACATTGCCTCAAATATGGCTGACGTAATTGCAACTTTTGATTCTGCTTGAGTAGAACATGAGATGAACCAGAACCATGACAGGACTGTAAACATTTGCATTTTCAGTACCTAATTTTTCTCTAGAAACCTGCTAATTGCATTTTGATTGAAATATTACACGAAGAGCACTTATAATATACCACTGTGATGGATATGTAAAATGGTACAGCAAAATTTGATGAAAACACCCATATCTGTTGACATAAATACAAAATTGTTGAAATATGAACTAATTAATACAAAGCCCCACTCATAAGCATTCTCAGTATATCTGAAACCAGATACAGTTAGCTCAAATTCCCATTCATAACCACAAATAGTAATAGCGAACATAGGTAGAATTATGAGAAATGATGAATATGATTTAAGCTTCAGACGATAAACACAGAAGAATAACACATATTCCATCCTTCAGACAAGCATTGCCACCTCTAGTTGTAATATGGTGTCAAAGACTGAGAGGAACTATGGAAAAAAAANTCACATTTGTCATTTGGTAATTGAAAATTTGTTTTGCTCCAAATTAGTAACTGAAGCTTCATTATTGTTATAATTTCATAAACCTGTCTACCCTGTACTAACAAGAATGTCGAAGTGATGGTGGTGGCAATGGCAGTAGTGTGCAAGAGGTACTGCAGTAGCTTAACTGAAATAATACTAATACAAGTTTAGTGAATGATTTGGAACAAGAAACGTTTAGTGACTAAAGTGATAGAGTGTAGTAATTCACTTGCAAGATAAAAGACTTTGCAGTTTAGAACGTACACAGAGAGGAGGCAGCCTGGGCCCTCTAAAACGGCAGTAATCCCTTCAACAGTAACGACACAAGAATCTCTTGCTGCATACCTTGAATCACCTTTGCTGTATTCTTTCCCTGCCATGTTCATTTTAAGCAAAATGTACAACTGGAGGGTTTATATCATTCCAACTACGGAAAAATCATATTTATCAGATGAAGTCGATATCAGAACTTACAAACTTCTGCAAGGTAAAAAGGAGTCTTCTTCTTATAAAATTCTGGGGAAAAGGCAAAATATCCCTCAAGGATCATGTGGGTCAGGCCAGTAAAAATCCACCAGCACATTAGCAATCTCTCAGTTTTTGACGTTTTGGGAAACCGCCCTAGCATTATAAAGAGTGTGATGTCGAAGTGAAAACTAATACAGATCAAAAGGTCTCAAGAGAATATTTTTATTAGAGCTACTAGACCTGCTCCATATAATGTTTACATTAAACCACCTCATCTAAAAGCTTTGGACCAAATTTATTTATTTAAATGTTTTTAACACAACCTTCACATGCATGCTGAATTCATTTTCTCACGAAGGCTTCACAATTGCACAATTTTATAAATGGATGGCAGCAAACTCAATCTTGCATCTCGATGTGCTTCGATATCATGTTAAACCATTTCATCTAAAAGCTTAAGTTGTAAGATAGAATACATATTTCTTTTTTAAATTGTGTCTTCAACAGTTTATTTGCATGCATGCACAGAGAGAGTATATAATGTATTCAGCAGGTTCAAACGTTACTCATTATAACCTTTGGTCAATTGTAATGAGGCTGAAGAATACATTTTCGTTGTGATTCAATTAAATTATACTCCCTTCGTCCCAATTATATAGGCTTGTTCCGTTTTTCACACGGATTAAGAAATCTTATATAATGTCATTGAAAAATTAATTTTTGTCAAGATCTTTCCTAATTTACCCCTATTTAATTTTCAGTATGTAGTAATGAATTATTGTTGGAATTAGTAAAAAATTTGAGTGATTCAATTTAAACAAGAAGAAATGAGAGTTGTTCTATTTTTTCAAGAAGTGGGAAAAATGTGTATTTGGATGATTTCAAGAAATTGACAGATTAAGTGGGGAAAATTGAATAAGGGTATATTGGTAAAAAAACAAAACAAGATATTCTAAATTAAGAAACATGCCTATATATTTAG